TGAGGATCCAGGAGCGTTAGAACCGTGTATAAAGCATTAGAGACGCAAGTTAAGTGTTAGAAATGTATGTAAAGTGGGAGAAAAGGAAACTGCTCCCCACACATGGCAGCACTATTCGTGTCCCCATTCCCACCAGACTGGACATGGGCTGAGGGTCCAGGCCTGTGCCCCCCTGAGTTGTTGGGGCCAGCCTCTCCCAGCCGGTACCGTGGCCCTGCCCGCTGGGCACACCCACACTGGACCCAGGGCAGCCCCGAGCTGGAGCAGGAGTGCCGGCACCGGCAGATCGTGTCCTGGTTTGCCGACCACCCACAGGCCCCCTTTGGTCTGCACCGACTGGTGGAGCTCGGGCAGAGCTCAGGCAAGAAGGCAGGCGACTGGTACGGGCCATCGCTGGTTGCACACATCCTCAGGTGAGGGCTGCTGCAGGGAACACGGGAGTGGCTGAGTATCCCCAGGAACTCAGGCCTCCCCTCCCACCCACAGGAAAGCTGTGGAGAGCTGCTCCGAGGTCACCCGCCTGGTGGTGTATGTTTCTCAGGACTGCACAGGTAAGGGACTGGGTGGGAACCAGGGTCCTGGGGTGGGGTCTAATCCTCACCCAGTCACTGCCTCAGTGGTTGACACAAGTTCTGAGCAGACACTCAGAGCAGATTCACAGTCATCCAGTCAGGGGTGCCGAGTGTCTGTCCTCTCTGCCACCCCTGCAGAAGCAGGAGAGGAAACGTCTGGGCCCTAGTCACTCTCCCTCAGTCACCAGTTCTAACCTGGGTAGAAGGCTGGGTACCCCCACCTCATTTAGTTGTTGTCTGAGGATTAAAGGAATCTGTAATATGAGGCAGCTTCCAAAAGGTCGTGGGGAAATGGAATTTTAAAATCCTGCAATTTTTGTAGACTCTTTGTGCCTCTTTGTAGAGCAACACTTGTACCTAGTAATACCACGGCCTGGTCAGCTGTGACTACCACTATTCCCTGTCGAGTCCTGGTGGGGTGATGGGTTACACATTGGGTTGCTAACCACACGATTAGCGGTTCAAATCCACCAGCTGCTCCTTGGGAGAAAGATGAGGCTTTCTTCTCCCATAGAGTTACATACAGCCTTGGAAACCGTATACAGGATCACTATGAGTCGGAACCAATTGGACAGCACACACCCAGCTTCACCACCACTCTTCTGCCGCTGTGGTTAAACACGTGGTGTGAGCCCACCAGCTGCTCCTCAGGAGACAGATGTGCCAGTCAGCCTCCAAAATGATTACCCACTGCCCTCAATTCCGACTCACAGTGACCCTGTTCAAGCCCTGGTAGAACAGTGCTTAGGCACTTAGTTACTAACCGGAAGGTTAGCAATCCAAACCCACCAGGTTCTCCATGGTACGAAGATGCGGTAACCAGCTCCCATTCGGATTACAGCTTTGGAAACATTGTGGACAGTCCACTGTGTCCTTCAAGGTTGCTGCTGAGTCGGAATTGACATGCTAGCAGTGGAGGTATAGGGAGGTACAGGCAGGGAATCTACTAAATCTGTCATTTTCAATGCAAAATCATACATGTTTAGGGACAGGGACATGTCCCCCAAGATTTGGATCCATATCTCTGGAGCCAGGAAAGGGGCTGAGGCATCAGCAAAGGAAAAAGCCCAAGAATGGGGACCAGTAGACGGTGAGCCAAGGACATTCAGTCTGGAGCAGGCAGCTCGGTGCTCCCAAGTTCTTCTTGGCAAACCAAAATGCTGAGTCACTGGATGAGTCAGGTCTGGGGTTGGGAGGAAGGCACCCACTAGATGCCTCTTCCTGCCTTTATGATCTCTGCCTAAACTTGAGGGCCTTGGTTGCACTGTGTTTAAATGGGGACACCCACAGCGGCTTGGGTATACCAGGATTTTCTTGGGAATGGTTGGGGTATTGGAAAGAGATCCTTGCCCGCTGACAGCAGTGATGTTGGGCCCCGGGGGTTAGAGGGTGCTATTTGGGGCTTGACAGTTGGGCAGGAAGGTGACCTGCTCTTGCCCCTCCAGTGTACAAGGCGGATGTGGCACGCCTGGTGGCCAGGCCAGATCCCACAGCCGAGTGGAAGTCTGTGGTCATCCTGGTGCCTGTGCGGCTAGGTGGCGAGACTCTCAACCCCGTGTATGTGCCCTGTGTGAAGGTAAGTGCAGCCAAGTTCCCCCACCCTACCCCATCCCCTCTGCCCAGAAGCCTTCCAAACATTTTCAACTTGGGATTGTTGTTGTTAAGTGCTGTCAAGTCGGTTCCCACCCACAGTGACCCTGGATAGGGTTTCCAAGGAGACACTGGTGAGCTTGAACCACCAACCTTGCAGTTCAAACGGCTTTGCAGTCTGGCACGTTAACCCACAGCACCACACCAGGACTCCTTCAGCTCGGGACAGGGACCATTTATTTATCCATCCTCGAATCCCAGCATCTGTTAATTCAGTAGCTGTGAAACACCTACTGTGTGCCACACACTGTCCTGGGGAGAGTGGCGAACAGAACAGGCAGAAATCCCTACCGGATAAGAGCAGACATTCTAATGGGGAATGAGGCAGCGAAGGTAACAAGTTGAACACCTTTGTTGCCCAGTGCCCTTGAGCCAATCCTGACTCAGAGAGACCCTGTATAGGGTTTCCCAGGAACAGCTGGGGAGCCTGACCCACCGACCTTGCGATCAAGCTGACCTTTCAGTCCCTTGCATTAATCCAGAGTGCCACAGCAGTACCCCACCTCAGACACTAAAGGGGACAAAATCAATAGGAATGGGCAGATGAGAGCAGGCAGAGCTCAGAAAGACCCTCTTCAGCCAAGATGCAAACGAACTGGACTCAAGCGCTTTAGGCAGTAGGAACAGCAAGGCCCAGGGCTCTGAGGCTGGTAGGACCTTGGAGTGTTTACATTCAGAATCCAAGTTCTCCCCACTCCACGGGCCTGCACATTCCTTTACCATCTGCCCCATCCCCCCATTCCCTGCACTCCAGCCATGCTGGTCTCCACTCCAGTTCTCTGAACATCTCTACTTTAGGGCCTTTGCACCTGCTGTTCCTTTTTGGAGTGCTCTTTCCCCAGATCCGGCTGGAGGCTCCCTCTTCCCCCTTCAGGTTTTTGCTCAAAAGTCACTGAGGCCTTTCCTGAGCTTCCCTACTCCCCCGCTCAGTTCTAAATGGCCCCATTCCCCTCACTTGGGGCACTGGCTCCCCACACCATTTTTTCTCCTGGTCCGTGAGATCACTCGCTCACAAATCAGTTCATGTTTCTGCTGGAATGTCCATTCCACAAGGCAGGGGTTCTGTCCATCTTGGCCACTGCTGCCTCCTAGGGCCCGGGCAGGGCTGGCGGCACACAATAGGCATTTTGTTGTGTGCTCACAGCCTCTGCCCACTCTTGTAGGAGCTCCTGCGTTCAGAGCTGTGCCTGGGCATTATGGGGGGCAAGCCGCGGCACTCGCTGTACTTCATCGGCTACCAGGGTAGGTCCCACCCTTCCCCACCACCCATGGGGTAGGCCCTGGCCTGTCGCACCCCATCTTGCTCTCACGCCTCCTCCTATCCTGCAGAGGACTCCCTCCTCTATCTGGACCCACACTACTGCCAGCCCAGCGTGGACGTCAGCCAGGCTGACTTCCCCCTGGAGGTGAGCCAGAATCCCAGGGTTGGGGCTGAGGCCTAGGGAGAACTGGCGCTCCCTTGAACCTCCATGGTCTCTCTTCCCCAGTCCTTCCACTGCACCTCACCCCGCAAAATGGCCTTCACCAAGATGGACCCAAGCTGTACCGTGGGCTTTTATGCTGGAGACAGGAAGGAATTTGAGACGCTCTGCTCGGAGTTGACCAGGGTGAGCCAGACAGCATTGAGGGGGAGGAGCAGAGCCCAGAGTCCAGCAAACCTGAGACTCTGAGTGCCAGGGGGTACCAGAGCAAACAGTTCCCTTACAGCTGTCAGCCAGCAAGCCGTACAATCCCACTTCAAATTAGAGCCAAATGGGGGCTGGGAATCTGTTTGGGGGTGCTGTCTTGGGGTACAGCTGCATCCAGGGGCTCAGGCAGTGGACCCCTTACTGTCTCTTGGCTTTGCAGCCCTCCCAGCTCAGCAGAAAGGGAGCTCCGCTTGCCCAGTAGAGCTGTCCTTCATTGACTAGGTTGGGTCACATGCTCATCACCGAGCCAGTCAGTGGCAAGAGGACATAAGGTGCTGACTGGCTGGCCTGAATTGCTGCTTCAGGGGTGGGTCCAGGGGAGGATTAGGGGTGACCATTGAATGGCACTTCACACGCACCTGTCTGCTGTGGTGGGGCTGAGCCACCACTCTCCCTCCCACCAGGTCCTCAGCTCCTCCTCAGCCACAGAGAGATACCCCATGTTCACCCTGGCTGAGGGTCATGCTCAGGACCACAGTCTGGATGATGACCTCTGCCCCCAGCCAACGCTGAGGCTCCCTCGCTCAGGGCGGCTCCTCAAGGCTAAACGGCCAAGCTCCGACGACTTCGTGTTTTTATAAGGGGAGGGAAAGGGACAGAAGATTGACACTTTATTTTTTTATTTATTTCACACTGGGTGTGGGAGCTTGAATTCTGGTGGTGATGGGACCCTCTTACCTCTTTGAGAAACTGAGACCAGTCCAGGAAATGGCCAGGCTGGGGCAGTTTAGCCAAGGAACAGAGCCCATAGGCCTGCCCTGCTCCCACTGACCCCGCCAGACCTTCCACAGGGAAGGAGGGAGGCTCCTGGCACCCACTCAGGCCTGACTCAAGGTACTGTGGTTTGCACTGGACCATCCACACTCCTCGTAGGTCCCCCCATTCCTACAAGAGCTGGTGGGTGGGGAGGACTGGCCATGGGGGGTGAATAAAGCTATTTGATTTCACAGCCGACTGTGGCCAGGTTTTGTGTTGCGGGATGGGGTCACTTGTTCAGTCAGCTTCAGTCCCCGCCCTGTAAGACAGCCACTAGGTTCTATGGAGCTGACTGACAGTGCCCACCGGCAGGAGGACCAGCCCTGCACCCGACTTAGGAGCTGCTCTTGAGCTGTTGCTGCTTCTTCCGTTGCCGGCCCAGCTGGCGGAAGTGCAGACGTTTGGGGTTGAGGCCAAAGGCCTGCAGCCTCTGTCGGCTGAACTCACGCCCTGCAAGGGTCACCGTGGGACCCAGCAGGCGGGCCTTCTTGCTCTGCTTCCGCCTCTGGGGGGCTGGCTTCTTAGGGGCCACCTCTTCCAGTGCAGGGGGACTCTCAGCTCGGGGCCGCTTCCCATGAGCCCCGTCAGGGACTGGCAACTGTCCCTTTGGGCTGGTATTGTCTCGTTGTGGCTTTCCAGTGGTTTCCGTGGGCATCTCCGTCCTGGGGGAGAGAAGCCAGGGACAGCTTCAGCACATGGCGTGGGACAGGTGGGGGAGACCCAGAAAGGCAGCAGCCAGGCTGTGACTGGGGGTGCTGAGAAATCTGCTATTGTGCCTTGGCCTCCACTGAGCTGTCCCCTTAAATGAACCCATTTTGGTTTCACCTGAGGAGCTCAGGTAAAACAGGAAAGGATGACCATCATGAGCACAGCAACACTGGCACCTAGAGGACGTTTAGTGTGTTGGCATTTGGGTCACTGGACACAAATTCCCTCAGTTCTCAAACAGCCAAATGCAAGCGGAGTGCTCTCTCCCCATTTTACAGATAAGCAGAGACACAGAGAGGGGAAATAAATTGCTCCAAGTCACACAGCTATGGCTTTGCCAGGATTTGAAGCCAGGTTTGAGAGAAGGGAAACCTTGTTCTCAGGGCTGGGGGATTCCCGAGCCCACCTTCCCCCTGTAGGTAACACTCACTCCTCTAAGCAAAGCGACTTGAAGATCTGCTGCTTTTTCCACGCGTTCTGGGCCTTCTGGCTGTATGCCCTCCTGTCCTGCAGCTCCTCCTGCTCCGACCTGGGGACACCCAGTGCGCATGTCTGGCTGGCTGCTAGCTCTGGGAGGGCCCCGCACCCACCAGCCCCCTCCAGTGCCATCACCTATACATGCAGGCCTTCTTCAAGGGGCACCACCGGTTCAGCTCCTTGTCATCTGCTGCCAGGATCTGCACGGGAAGGGAGGGGGCGTCAAAGCTGGAGCACTTAGTACCTGCTGTCCGGGCCATTGTGATGGGGTGAAGGAATGATTTCCACGGTGGCATTCCTTTAACTTTTAAGAGGGGCAGCCATCAAATGGGGGAACAGAGTGGGACCTTTATCCCACATCACATGGCCAAGTAGTAATAGATTTCGTATTCCAGTTCAGGCCCACCAGAGGCCCCAGGACCAGCACCAAGCACCACCACCCAGGACAGGGGTCTCCAGGGCAGTGACCAATTGTGCTGCTAAAGGCGAGGCCAGCTTTCTCAGCCCTGTACAGCCACCAACCTACAGGTGGAGCAGCCTTCTCAGGGGCTCCCTCCTTCCAGACCTGAGGTGGACTGCCTCTCAGAACCTACTGGAAGGTTGTCAAGAGATTTAACTGAGTGAATGCAGAGGGTACAAATGTGACAAATGTCAGTTAATCTTACTGGTGATTAACAGCTGAATGTTTGCAGCCATCACCGCTAAGTACAGTGGGCATTCGTGACTGGCAGGTACCCTTCAAAGGGCCGCACACATTTACTTTCAGCTCCACACCCAGGAAGTAGAGGCTGTTACTGCACCTGTTTTACATATGTAGAAACTGAGGCACAAAGTTAAGACTCATTCCAGGCCACAGAACTGATGAGCCGCTGAGTCAGGATATGAACTTGGCCCATCTGGCTCCGAGCCCACCAAATCTTAACCACTACCTGATGCTGACATTGAACAACACAATTAGACCTACTATGTAAGGGAGACGGGGCACGGCTTAAGTAAGGCCTGGTTGCACAGAAACCTATTAGTTACCAGTGCTGTCGTTACATTTCTGAGACAATAAAGTGGATCATAGCACCTCTAGGTGTTAGAGTCATGTGCCCTTTCATATGCTGTACTGGGTGTTCCCAGTGGCTCCCCGCCTGCCCAGGACCCTGACCTCCTCGGTGCTGAGTCCAAAGTCACAGGGCACCACGGTGCGGTACTTGAATCGACAGGGCAAGTCGTCAATGATATCCTCATAGTCCAGCCGATAATATTCATCCAGGTACTCCTCAAACGTCCTGTCCCCTGTCAAGGGCGAGAGTAACTGCAGGGTGTGCCAGGCCTTGTGTAGCCCCGTCTGCCTACTGCCGCCCACCCAGACCTCACCAGGGTCAAACACTGGCTTTTCTTGCCCCACAGCCGTGGCAAAAGGTGACCTGCGTTTCTTCTTGCCCTTCAAGGGAGCCTCTCGCTTCTTCTTCTGGGGCTGGCTGGGATCATAGTCAGCGTCCATCTGTCGGGATATGCAGGTCAGCTCAGTCCCTTGTGGCTCCCTGAGGCCTCCCCACCACCACCACCACCACCACCTCAGGCCCATGGCACCTACATTAAAGTCTGGGTGCTCACAGTGTAGCTCTTGCTGGCCCCAGGCACCATCCGGCTCCTGCCCATCCCATGTGTCCCAGTTCCAGTCATCTGGTCTCAGAGAGGACAGGCAGGCAAGGTCAGGGTGACACCTTGGGATTTAGGCCTAGCATCCCCTCACTGTCCAGTGCCTGGTGGCCCTCACCTTCCAGCCCCTCCTCCTCCTCAAACTGCGGCTTGTCTTCCTCCATGGCACCGTAGTACTCGTCTCCAAAGCATTTCTGTAGGGGCAGCGGGATGGGAGCAGAGTTCCGCAAGGCCTCAGGACTCCAGGGCCCACCCCGCCCTGCTCACCCCAGACCCAGGCAGTTTTACTCCTACACCTTGTGTGACTCCCGGCAAACTCGGACTTGGCTGATGTGGGGGAGCACTGTGCACCACCCATCTCCACCATTCCCTCCCCTCTACTATGCAGGCCACCATTCGATCCCCACAGGTTCCTCTAGGCCTCTGCCCATGTGGTCCCCCAACTTAGACCACTCCTCACCACTCTTAAGACTGTCCTGGGGCCCCTGTTGGAACCCCAGCATCTGGTGGAGGCTTGAGAGGCCCACATTGCTAACCACATCAATTATTAAGCACCTACCATATAGACTCCTGGTGGCGCTGTAGAATAAGTATTGGACTATGAACCATAAGGTCAGCAGTTCAAACCCACCAGCCGCTCCTCAGAAACCCTATCTATACAGGGAGAGCACTTAACTCCACCACCACATGCTCAAGGAGCCCTAGTGGCACTGTGAGCTAAGCACTGGGCTGCTAACCTCAAGGTCAACAGTTGAAACCCACCAAGCACTCCATGGGAGCAAAATGAGGCTGTCTGCTCCCACAAAGATTTAGTCTTAGGGACCCTATATAAGGTCTCTATGAGATGAAATCACAAACAGCGGGTTTAGTTGTTTTGTTTTTATAGCTGAAGCCTGGGCTGCAGCTCCCTGCATTTCCATCTACAGCCACCCAGAGAGGCAAGGACTATTCAAAGCCCTGAAGCTCTATACATCAAGCACTGATCACTTAAACTGGTATGTGTACTCGTCCCAACCTATGCTTACCACAAACCCCATGGTGGGTTCTGTGCTTTGACCCCTTTACAGACAGGGAACCTGGCTCAGAGACGTCAAGCCACTTCTTTGAGGCCACAGAGTTGGGTAACGACACCCAGTGGGTGACAAAGCCATCCCCAAGAACGTGCTGTGTGGCTGAGCCACAGCCTGTGGTCACACCTGCATGAGCTGGTCATGCCGGGCTGGATCGAAGTCGTCCTCCAGGTCCCGTTCCTCCAGGCCCAGCGTCTCGTTGCCGGTGACCTGCCGCAGCTTCTCCAGCTTGGCCAGAATCTCCCTCCTCTTCAGGTTCTTCAGCTGTTTGAGCTCCTCCTGTTTCTTGGCTTTCTCCTGCAGACGGCAGGCAGGTCAGGAGCAAAGGGAGGGTGTGGACTATTCCAGTCCACAGTCCCAGTCGGGAGCCACCATACTCACCCGCCTCTTGCGCTCCCGCGTCTCTTCCCTCTTCTCCTTCCTGCGCTCATCCTTGCGGCGCACGGAGGACGTGATGCTACGTGGGTAGGTCTTGACCTGTGGGTGGCAGAGGGGCCAGGAACAGCCACAGAGATGGTCCCCAGGTTCTTGGGCTTGGGGCTTCCCTGCCAGGTCCTCCCCTAGCCCAGCCCTGGCCCCATACCTCAGCCGAGTCTGGCTCCTCGAAGCGGAAGTTGTACTTGTGTTCAAAGTCTTCCTGCTTCTTCAGAAATAGCTCACCCTCGTCTGAGGAGTCATCCACGGCCAGCTGTCCCAGAAGGCCAGGGGTCCTGAGGGATCAGGTGGGGCAGGGCTAGAGGTCAGCCATGCTAAAGGTAGGGTCCCAAGCTTTTTATAGGGGTTTAACTCACTTATCCTCTAAGAAACCCTACTAGGGAACGTATCCCTATTTTACAGATGGGGAAACAGGCACGGGTGTACAGCGGCAGAGTCAGGATTTGAACTAGTGCTACCTGGCTCTAGGAGCCACACACTGAGAGTTCTGCTACCATGTGTGTGAAACGGCCAACTCCCATTGTCTGCCGTTTGGCTTGCACCCACAGGTACTATCTTGGGAAGGGTCCTAGAGGTCCAGAACCCTTAAGGACATCCACTGGGTTGGAATGGGAGGGAGATGGGTTTGGGTGGTCCACCCCTTGGAATTTTTTTTTTTCCTTCCAGCATGTTCAGGAATTACCTACTCACAAAACTATACCCTCAGATCCTGGGGAAGGTGTGGGGCTCACCCTTCCTCCTCCTCTTCCTCTTCATCGTCTTCTTCCTCTTCCTCTTCCTCATAACGTTTGTTGAGTATATAATCCCTGAGGAATCGTTCCCCTTCATCCAGCTCAGGGTTGTTCCAGTAGTCCTTAAGGTGGGTCTAGGGGTGCAGGATGTGGGTCCCAGGTTAGAGCATGGGACCATGTTTCTCCTGCCCCTGGCAGGGAAGGAAGGTGGCCACAGGCACCAAAGGAGTTTTGGTGTCTGGAGTACATAGATTACCCCTTTTTATAGGTGTAGAAACCATGCCCCAGAGATGAGGCCACGGATTAGTGTTGAATTGGGAATCTGGGCATAGCAGCATGTGCTCTTGGTTCCCCTCTAGTGGATGGTTTCCAGAAAATCAGTGAGGACGCACTGGCTGGCACTGGAAGGGACCCCTCAGTCCCTCAGCATGTGGGGGTGAGAACTCACCAGCTCTTTCAGGGCCTCGGAGTTCTCCATCTTCTTCTGTCCCTTCAGCCACTCCACATAGTCAGCCTCCTCCTGGGCCTGGAGGAAAGCCAGTGCTGAGGGTCTGCCAGAGCCTCCCACCCCTCCCCAACCCCCTCCGGTCCTAGCCGCTACCTTCTCCTCCCTGGTTTTAGCTCGTTTCTGCAACAACCCGGAGCCGCCGTCCTCAGCACTATTCTCCTCCTCACTGTCCTCCATGAACGTCCGGAAGCTGTCCACATGACACAGGAAGCCTTAGGACAGGCTGGCTGGACCATGCCCACTGCCCCAGAGCAAACCCCAATCTCTGGACAGACTCACAGAGGTGCTGTGAGCAATATGGACCTCATTCCTAGCTGAGAAAACTGAAGCCCAGAGACAAGGCTATTGTTAAGCTTCCTGTTGTTGTTGTTAAGTGCCATGGAGTCGGTTCTGACTCACAGTTACCCTGTATAGGGTTTCCAAGGAGTGGCTGATGAGTTTGAACCACCAACCTTGCAGTTCAAACTGACATTGAGGTAGAATGTTTATCCAAGATCCCTGTTAAGCTCACAGCTACCCTGTATAGCATTTCTGAAGCTTTTAAATCTTTGTGGGAATAGAAAGCCTCATCTTTCTCCCTTGAAGCGGCTGACGGGCTCAAACTATAGACCATGTGGTTAGTAATCCAGAACATACCATATGGAGCCACCGTACTACACAATCACTGAATGTCAGAGGGGATGTGAACCCGGATCCATCCACTCGGCCCCCTTCAGCTGACCCAGGCTCACCTTTCCTTGAGCTGTTTCTGTTCCTCCACGTAACTCTGCGACCAGGTCTGCTGTATGAGACAGTGGCGTGAACGTCAAACCTGGTGCAGGGCCCCACAGCCCCCGGCCCAGCCTCCATCCCACTAACCTGACGTCTCTGATCAGAAGCCTCTCCGTCTGAATGCTCTTCATCCACGTATTTGCTGTGCAGAGGAGTGGGGGCTTCAAAATACAATTTCTGGGGCCCATCTGCCCCAGGGTGGGGAGCTGCTACAAGCAGCTAGGGGCCCATAGCAGGTGTGGATGAATCACTGCAGCGCTTGCTCTTAGGGGCTCCCTAAATCTGGGGGAGGGGGGCAGCTGTCCCTAAGACCCCCGCGTGTCAGCCTTTCTCCTCACCCTTCTTTCTCCAAGATGACCTTCCTCTCATAGTCCTTCAAGTACATAGGCCGAACCTTCTTCTGCTGCTTCTGCGCAGTTGCTGACTCTTCCTCACTCTCTGAAGATGAGGCTGTGGGACCCCCACAACATAACCTGCCATCACCCACAAGCCCCTTGTTTCCCTGGTAGAGGTTCCCACAGGGTAGGGCCAGGGTCAACCAGTGGTCAAAGAAACCCACCAATTTCCAGGTACCGTAACTGTGACTACCTAGTGAACTGTGATTGTCCCACAGCTACATCTTGACCAATGCCTATCATAGAACACCTGCTGAAGACGTGTTAATGGTGCAGGTGTCTTTAACATCAAATCTCAACTGCTCAGCACTTCCCTCCCAAAATAAACACAACCACTGATAAAGTGTCGAGGACCTGTTCTTTGGTAGAACGTAGCATCCTTCTGATAAATGCGGGGGTCCTTCTTCTTCAACAAGGAGAGCGTCCTATAAAAGTCCCGCTCCTGCTGGGGGTCGAATGTCTGGGGCAGGAAAAAGGTAAAGACAAACTTCAGAAGAGAGGTGGGGAGAATTCTGGTGGGAGTTGGTGATGGGAGCAGTGAACTGCAGGAGAGCTGAGAGTGGGCACTAGCATGGGTAGGGGCATGTATGAGAGGGAAGAAAAGGGGATGAGTCAGTCTGGGGAGAGGAAGGCTGGGGGGATCCACCTGTGGCTGGAAGGCTGGGTCTGAGGGAGGGTTAGGTGGGGAGGTCACGCCAACAGAGAGATAGCTCTTCTTGGGAGGCAGGAAATAGAAATGGGACAGAGGAAAGTGAGAGAGCAAAGAGAAGGTACTTTCTAGGAAACAGGAATGACAGAGGCAGGTGGGCATGGGGGTGGAGAGCACTGCTGAGTGAGGCCAGGAGGAAGATGGGAGCTGATGCGAGAAGGTAGGTATCCCATGTAGAAGAAAGGTACCCCACTTCCAGGATGCAATGGGACACAGAAATGGAAAAGAGGTTAGACTCTTGGAGGTGAAGACCAGAGGGGGGAGGGTCCTGGGAGGCAGCCCAATCAGAGTGGGCGGGTAGGTCGGTGGTTGGGAGGAGGGTATTTGGGCATCTTGTGGAGATGGGGAGGGAGCTTTCTGCATCTCATGGGATTGGAGGTGGGATGGGATCCGGATAGGTGGGGGAATGGGATGACCACATCGGCAACGGGATCTGGGTGCTGTAGGGGTTGGGCGCCTCACGTGCGTCTGGGGCGGGAGGAGGGAGGCTCACCACGCGCTCGTCACTTGAGTCAGACTCGGAGCTGGAGTCACTGCCTTTGTCCCGGTCCCCGTAGCGATCCTTCACTGTAAGGCACAGGCCGGTTTCCCGCAGATCAGTCCCGGGGAACCAAATCAACTCCATTCCCTCCCCTCCGACACACATACTACCCAACAGTCCAACTCGCGCCGACGTCCCGTGTACATGCACCCCGCACTCACGCCGTTGCAGCTCCTCTCGCTCGCGGTAGCGGCCGTACTTGGCGGCGAATGCCGCATTCACCCGCAAAGGAGACAACTTGCGCGGCTCCGGCATGGCGGCTCAGCGGCTCGCTGCGCACGCGCGAGGCGGACGCCCAGAAATGGGCGGGGCCGCACTCGGCCGCGCTCACCGTGGGTTTTAAAGGAGCCAGAGCTTGTCTGACCTGGCTTTTTCCGGGATCCTGTCCCCCAAATGACGAAATCCCCGCCCATGGGTCACGCCTTTGCGGGGAAGGCCGCGGCCACCGCCCATTCCGCTCCCTCCCCCACCGACTTCGGGTACCCAGCTGACATCTGGGGGCCCTTTCTCCACTCTCCACTCGCGGTTTCCTGCCTCCCTTCCGTTCCGACTGCGCAAACCGCTGCCCCACCCAGCTCACTCACCCCTGCAGCCCTGGGAATTACCGCTTTCTCCCCTACACCACCGCACCCCCAACACATCCGCGCCCCCCAACACATCCCCATCCCAGACTCAGAAATCTGGAGCCACAGACGCTGTCATCATACTCAAGTCTTAATTTAATGGATAAAAACATTAAATTATCACACGCAACAATGTTTTCCATAAATCTTAATAAATAGATTTTTTTTTTTGTCAACACTGTACAAGCGGCTGGAAAACGGGCTTTCAACAAAGTACAAATGAATTCATGCCACCCCTTTTATGTTTTGAGAACACTGCCCTCGCCCCATGCTCAAAGAAGCAGTGCGCCCCCTTGAGGTTCCTGGGCGCAGTCGGCAGGTGCCAAGAGACTTGAGGGCAATGACCTCAATCCAGGGCTGAGGCTTTAATGTTAGACCTGGTTGGCAGCTCGCGGTGAGGAGAAAAGTGAACCGTATAAGTAGCTGTTGCATGCAGAAATCCTCTCTGTCCAACACACCAAAAGGGGTGAGAAAAACAAACGAGAAACGTCCCCCAAACACACACACACACACACACACCCCAAAAATCAACACCAACAAGCCACAAACCCTCAGCACTAGGTGGCAGGAGTGGAGGGAGAAAGTGTTTCTTCCCTCCTCTTTAGAGATGTGTCCAGCGGGACCCTGGTCACAGCGGGGCCACCAGGTGCCCCTGCAGAATGTCCATGAGGTTCTGAGCCCCTCTCTGCCTAGCGAGCTCCAGGGGCGTGAGCCCCCAGGCGTTCCTGTGATGGAGATCAGACTCAGCAGCCAGAAAGCTGACCACTGCTTCGTGGCCCTCCCGTACTGCCAGGTGGATGGGGAGTGCTCCACTGCTATCAGGTCTGTTCACGTCGGCGCCATGCTCCACCAGGACCTTCAGGGTGTCCAGAAATCCAGTGCGAGCGGCATCGTGAGCTGGAGTGGTGCCGGAGATGTCCTGGACATTGGGGCAAGCCCCTTGCTTCAGCAGCTCCAGGGCAATGGTGGGGCTGCCAAACATCATGACCTGTGTGGGGGCAGAGGGTGAGGAGCTTCCCACGGAAGGGAGTCCGGGAAAGGGGGTTTCAAGAGCGAAAAGGATAATCCCAGGGAACACAGTCCAGAGGGAGCTTTCTGAGATCCCAAAGAGCTAGGTCTCCTGGGAAGAGGAGCTCCTAAGAAACTCGCCGCCACCCTAGGGTTAACATGAGATGCTTTCATAAAATAGTCCCTATGGCGGTTTTCAAGGAACCTAAGCCTTTCCCCGCAAGGAACCAGAGACCACCGCCGCCACCCCTCCCCCACCCCGGAAATGATTTCCATCAGGAAATATGAGACCTTCTCCAGAAATGGGCCCCCAAGAATTTGACAGCCTCCAGAAGGGCAAAGGAATGCCCAGGTAATGTGAAACACCTTCAGGGACTATCCCCCCAAATATAAGGGGAATGCTCTGCAGTACCTCAAGAATTAGAATTAAAAAAAAAAAAATTCCCCATACAACGTTCCCCAGAGAATAAGAACCCAAACCCCTATTGGGCGAATCTGCACCCCCCCCCAGGAATAGGGACGCTCCCTAGGAATGGAGGCCGTCCAAGTAACTGGAGAACTCCCCTGAAAATGGGGATACCCTAGACACATGAAATCTTCCTTCTAGAGATAGATTGGGGAGTCCCAAGAAACTGAAGCTGCCCTATGAAACCGTGACCCAAAGAAGCTGGATTCCATCCACGGAAAAAGAGCCTCCTGGGGAAATGTAAATCCACCTTATCCAGAAGATGGAGAGGCCGCCCCTTCCCCCAGCCTAAACCTACCCACCCATGAAAGGGGAACTCAGAGAGCAGCATAGGCCTACAGTCGGTCCCCTCCAAACTCAGGGGACAAGAGGCCAAGCTCTGGAGTCCGCGCCCCCGCCCTTACCCGCTCGGCCTCACCTGCAGCGCTGTCTTGCCAAAGCGATTCAAGGCGTCTGGGTGCATCAGCTCGCGGTGCAGAAGGCGGCGCACCTCCTGCACGTCGCCTCGGGCTGCGGCCCCGCTCAGCAGGTCGCCAGCACGGACCTCCTCCAGCAGCATGGCGACACCGACGGTCTGCGAAGCCCCCCACCCCACAGCGACAAGTCAATGCGCGCGAGGCTGCGGCACCTACAGAGCAGCGCTCCTAGGACCTGGCAAGTCGCGCTCGGCCTGCGCGATGCTCCAAGCCCCGCTCGCCGGTCCAGAGCTCCGGCGTGACCCTCACGGCTCCTCCCCCTGTCACCCGGCTGGCGACCAGGGGCTCGGAGTCGGACCCAATCCCCCGCTGCCCGGGGTGCTCAGCCCGGCGCCCGCCCCTTGGGGGCCGGGTCTCCCCCAACTCACCCTCCCTCCTCCTTGACGGGCGGAGTCCGCTCTGAGCCAACGCCGCCGCCGCCGCCGAGCCGGCCCCCGGTAGGCGGAGCCACCGCTCTGGAGCCCCAGCACTAAGCGCCACCGCCTTTTTGTTTTCTTACGAACTGGCTCCCTGGGAGCCAGGCCGCGTTGCCCAGCGCTCGACCTCGCGGCGCCCCGCCCACGCGACAGCGCAGCCAATGGCCGTGCGTCTCTGGGGGAGTTGCGAACTCTGGAGTGGGCGGTGTCACTTCTGATTGGTCCGGGTGCGGCAACGGGTGAGCCTCTGGCAATGGCGGGGTTTTCGGTTTTCAAACGCGCCAGGCGGGCGGGAAAGAGGGTCGGTTTAACTGACCCGGGGGAGAAAGGTCAGGGACTGGGTAGCGCGGGCTGGGCCGGTACCTCGGCACCTGGGTGGAGGAAGGGAGGCAAGACTGGGGCCGCCTAGTCGAGGAATCCACCTTTGGTCACGCTGGTGTCCAGATGTGGCGCTGTAGGATAATGCACTGGACCGCGAGGTCTGTTTGAACCGCAAGGTCGGAGGTACAAACTCACCACTTGCACCTTGAAAACCCTATGTAGGGTCGCTGAGTCGAAACCGACTCGACAGCACTTAACATCTACTGGTACCGTAGTGAGTTACACGAGTTAGAGGGCTAACTCGTTCAAATCTACCAGTGCTCTGCGGGGAAAAAGATGAGGTTTTTTGCTCCCGTAGGTTTATTGCCTCGGAAAGCCTTCAATCACCATCAGTATACGCTACGCAATTATTTCATTCATTCTCCACTGTTTACAGGAACTGTGAAGAGGAGGTGCATAAACTGATTTAGGTGTCAACAATGAAATTCAGTAATTTCAGGTAGCACTGAGAACCGTCATGACAGTAGAACCTGGAAAGGGTGTGGGTGAGGAAGGAATGTTCTGGATTCAGGAGACCGCCAGTCTGCGAGCAGAGAATTGTGGCCGACAGAGGGCTCCATTCAAAGATTTACTGCTATGCACTAGGCACCCGCGGGGGGGGGGGCTTATGTCTGCTGTTGCAAGTGCCATGGAGTCAGGTGCATAGCGACCCTGTAGCATGGGTCTCAACGACTTTGCAGTCCTACACGCATTAACCCACAGCGCCACACCAGGACTCCACCTTATGTCTAATCTTTTCATGTGTAAATGTATAAAGCTGGCACAGCAGGATGAGTGATGGTCACTTGGGACAAGGAAGTTGTTGAAATGAGGTTGGCGGTGGTAGTGTGCCATGGAGTCGGTTATGACTCATAGCGGCCCGGTATAGGGTTTCCGAGGCTGTGATGAGCAGAAAGCCTCATCTTTCACACCTGGATCGGATGGTAGTTTTGAACAGCTGACCTTGAGGTTAGCAGCCCCAACTCTTGACCACTATGCTACCAAAGCTCCTTTGAAATGGTGTTAAGGAGGTGGAAAGGGACCCAGGCAGAGGGAACTAACTATAAATGCAAAGACCCTGAGGTTGGAGTGCCTGGCTTTGTCCCCTACCTGGAACAGAATAAGCTTGGGGACACTGATTTGTAGCTTTCTTTTCTTGTAGTTTCTTTTCTATAGTTTTGGTGACAGGATTATGTTTGTTTTAGAAAATGAATTAAGGTGTATTCTCTCGCTTTTGGAAGAGTTGAAATAAGATTGGTGTCAACTTCCTAAATGTTTAGTAGAATTCCCTAATGAAGCCATCTGGACAAGGACTCTTTTGTTGTTGGAAGGTTTTAAATCACTAATTCCAGATCAGGAAGCCTCTCGAACTTGCCGTTAAAATGCCATTAAGGCCCAGTGCTTATCCTACAGTGCTACACCAGGACTGTGTCATGTTGCTAAGTGTGAGTCAGACTCATAGCGACCCTGTATAGGATTTCTGAGGTGTGACTGGTTTCCAAGGAATGGCAAACCTTGCAGCTCAAACTGACCTTGTGGTCCATCACATTATCCTGCTCTCATAGATTGCTATAGGGCAGGAAACTGTGTTTTGCTGTTTATATTCTTAATAACAAAAAATATATATTTTTTTTAAGTTAAAAAAAAAGAGCAAGGAGGAGGAGGGAGTGCACACCAAGCCATGTGAGCTGATGATACCTTGGCTTTTACTTCTAACAAACTAGGAACCTTGGGAGGGGGTTCTGAGCTGAGGAGGTCCATCAGCTGATTTAGGTGTCAACATGCGCCCTCTGTGGCAAGAGGGTGTAGAACAGACTGTGGGAATGGTGGAGCTGATCAGAGGTGATTGCCAAAGCTGGGTTGATCCATGATGGGTACAGAAGAGGGACTTACTTCCATTCTGGCACCCCAGGGACGCGTGCACACAGTCAAGGAAGCAGCGGCTAGACTCATCTTTTTAATGACACCCTAAAACTCAGAGGGATGAGCAGTGGGGCCTCTGGACTTAGCAGCTGTGTTGGAGGAGGGGCCCTGATACCCCCTAAGGCAGGGCACAGAAAGAAGGCACTGGTGAGGGGGCTTCAAGCCCCTCCCTTATTTCTTCATATAAATTGGGGACAAGGGTAAACCCTGTGGAGGGAGGGAGGGAGTCCATCCTTTACAACCTGTAAGTAGAAGAAAGGCGAGCAAGGGGCCTGATGCTGAGAACTAAGAAAGAAGCTTTTCCGTCTTTGCCTTCCTACCCTCCCCCATCCTGGGCAGCCAGGGTGGTCTGGGGACAATGAAGGCCCATGCTTTCCCGCATCCAAGCCTCCATCTCTTCTGCCTTCTAACTGGTACGAAGTTGATAATCTGCAAAAAAAAAACAGTGGATGGGTACCATCTCTGAACTGGGAAAAGGACACAGCCCTCCAAACCCATCCCCTGCTCACCATCAGCCCCAGGAGTGACAAGGATAAGGTTGAGGCTAATGCAGGGGAGGGCACAGGGGAATCCTGTATGTCCAGCCCTTCTTCCAAACCCAGAGACCACCACCATAGAATTAACCACTACCTACATTTTAAAAAAATCGGACCCAAATGAAGACTATTACTCATGAGTACAGGGATCCATTAAAAAGCTATCTACACTAAGAGACTAAAAGGTCCAACAATGACTCTAAAGCAAAAATGAGAAAGGAGCAGGGAAACCTGAGCACTGAAAATGGAACAACCTAATGGAATCAAAGAGGATGTTCACACATTGTGAAAAATCTATGTCACTGAACAATTCCTGCAGAAATTGTCAAATGGGAACACAGTGTGCTGTGTAAACTTTCACCAAAAGCATGATAATTTTTTTTTTTTTTTTTTAATGTAAATGATGAAAAAAGATCGGCAAACCAGGACCTAGGGTGTCACAGTGACAAAAGGGGCTGGCCTGGATCCACATCCAAGTTTCGAAGGCAGAATGTAATCAACCCCGTTCTCCTATCTCCCCCATCTCCCTGACCCTGTCCCAGGGAGCTGGCTGCCTTACCGCCACTCTGGGTGATGTAGCGGACCCAGGGCAGGGCCTGGTAACCACTTTTCTCAATGATCTTCATATATCGGACCTGGAATGAGGTAAGAAGAGATGGGGTAACCCAGCCTAGCCTGCTGGGAGTAAGTGACTGGAGCCAGGAGGGACTAGGTGACCCAGGATGAAGGCACAGGTAGTCTTGGCTGAGGTAGTCATGGCCCAGGCTGGGTGGGGGGGGAGTGACGTAGCCAGGCCCAGAGGAGCCTGGGGGACATGTCTTGGGGGAATAATATGACTCGGATTTGGGAAAATGAATGGCATGGCTTGGGAAAAGGGGTGCACAGGCAGCGTGTATGGGTCTGGATAGAAAAGGAGGGGGCAGGAGATGGCCAGGGCCAAGGGGATGGTGGTGAACAGCTTGCAGGCAAGGGAGGGGAGGGGAGGGCGAGTGGGGAATGAGAGTGACACAGGCCGAGGTGGAGGGAGAGGGGACCCAGGGGACACAGGCTGAGGTGAGGGGAGAGGGGACCCAGGCTGAGAGTAGAAGAGACAACACTGTGAGGGGCGGCAAGAAAGACGGAAAGGGGTGACCCAGGGCAAGAGATCATGCTGGGGTCAAGGAAGGGAGTCTCCCTGCTCCTTTCTTACCTGGATCCCAGAGACGGTGAAATAGGGGATCTCAAACTTAACCCCGATAGGGGGCCGGCCCTCCACTTCCTCCTTCTCCACGCTGGGAAGGCCAAAGTGGGCACGCATCAGGTACTCCTTGCCCCCCTGTGGGCAAACTGGCATGAGACACACCAAGCATCTGCATGACCCAGACTATACTCATGGTAACCCACAGGTAGGGTTCTTCCCTCAGTCCATTTTACAGATGAAAAGCTAAAGGCCCCTAACTGAAGCTCACAGCTTAAGCTTTTGATCCCCAAGTCCAGTTGTGGGACTTCTAATTCCTACCCCCCATTTCTCAGATTTGAAGGACTGCAGGGGGGCAAGGGGCCTTTAACTCTTACAGATGAGCAACTGAGGCTTCATGAGGGGAAATGGGTTTCCCAAAACCACTCAGCACAGAAAGGCAAGCTGGGGAGTTTAATCTAGGGAGAGGGTCACTACATTACTAGGTGGCCTGGTTTCCATCTCTGGTACCTTCCAAGGAGGACCAGGAACTTGTGGGTTCTCTGCCTTGACCCCACATACGGCAAGACAAGCTTCCCCACCTGCCCTGCCAGCGCTCACCGGGAAGGACTTAATACTCCAAATGACAACATTCTTCTCCGGCACGTACTTGGCGCTGCCCACACTGGTCTTGAAGCGTGGGGAGTCAGCATCGCTGGGGACAGGCACAGAGATTTCCACACTGTTGGCCACAGACTGCTTCTTAAACTGTCCCTTGGCCTGTTTGGGGGAGATCACAGGGCATCAAGAAATCACACATGAATTTCTGTAGATTTTCCCCAATCCATCTCTTTGAGGGCCTCTATAACCCTGAGGTAGGGACCACCATCCGGCCCATTTTACAGATTGAAAGAGGTGAAAACATTCACCTGAAGACATAGCCAGCAGGTGGCAGAGTCAGGATTTGCAACCCCGGAAGACTCCAAAGGTCAAGGCTGACCACCTCTGTCTAGTTCAAAGCAACTTGGCCACCTACTTGGATTTTTCACTTGATAGCTGGCATTTCCTGAGCCCCTACCTTGTGACCAGTCCCTGAAGAAGGACATCATGCTTGCCAAAGTAGAGGGTCAGCAAAAAAGAGGAAGACCCTCAATGAGATGAACTGACAACAGCTGCCACAAGGGGCTGCAGCAGCGCAATGGTTGTGAGGATAAGGCAGGACTGGGCTGTGTTTTGTTCCGTTGTACATAGGGTCACTATGAGTCAGAAGAGACTTGATGATACCTAACTACCACCACCACCACCATAAGGAGCTCTGGTAGCGTAGTGGTTACAAATTGGGCTGTGAATCTCAAGGTCAGCAGTTCGAAACTACCAGTTGCTCCGCGGGAGAAAGATGAGGCTTTCTGCTCCCGTAAAGATTTACAGCCTCGGAAACCCTGTTCAGGGTCGCTATGGGTCGGAACCGACTTGATGGCACTTAACAACAACCACCACTACCACCATATGCCAGGTCCTGTGACCAGTTCTCTAAAGCATTATTCCTCAGGTCCATTTTACAGGGGAGGAAACCGAGGCACAGAGAGAAAGAGTACTTTGCTCAAGTCACATAGTTGGTCATTGGTACAGACACTAAATGACAACATTTTATCTCTAGTTAGTGCTGGGTGACACAGGTCAAGTTTTTAGCACAGGAGTGTTCAATGTTTCATGGCTGTTGCTCTTTTACGAATATTGTCATCATTCCTTAATTCAGAGAGGAATGCTTGGGCCAGAGGATCAGACCAGATGCAGAGGTAAATCGGGGGATCTTTTTGGAAAGCGTGAACTCCATCTCCGTTTCCTGTTGCAGAGACAGAAATGTTGAGGGCATTGAGAGACTCCCTGGTGATCATTCATCACACAGACTCTGGAGCAAGGCAAACCATTGTCCAATCCAAAGCCCCTCTCTTCCTAGCTCTGTGCTATCTTAACCCCTCTGTGCCTCTGTTTCCTCATCTGTAAAACAGAGCTAATGACAAGGCCTTGCTTGGGGCAGTTCACAACTCCTAGCAAACCAGAGTCGGCAAGAACTGAAAACCCATAAAGGTGAATGAACCCAACCAAACTCCTTGCCAACCGAGTTGATTCCAGTTCACTCCAACCCTATAGGAACAGACAACCTTATCTTTCTCCCACAGAGTGGCTGGTGGGTTTGAACAGCTAACCTTACAGTTAGCAGCCCAAAACATGGCCCACAGCACCACCAGGGATCCTTCGAGAATGGGCAGATGTGGCCAAATCCCACCATGGACTAACATGCAGTTATTAAGTGCCGTTGAGCCGATTCTGACTCATAGCGACCCTGTATAGGGTTTCTGAGGAGCAGCTGGTGGGTTTGAACTGGTAGCATTGTGGTTTGCAGTCCAGTGTTGATCCTACAGCGCCACACCAGGACTGATATACAGCTATTAAATGGATGTGCTAACCAGCACTTCCTGGGAGTCGCCTCAAAGTCAATGAGGCATCCAGGAAACCACACAGCAGGATTCCATTCAAAGTTCAGAAACAGGAAGAATGAAATACTTCCAGGTACAAATGTGGATGGCAAAATGGTCAAGAAAAGACCTAACTCACATAAAAGTCAAGACCCTGGCTACCTCACCCTAGATGAGATAGGGGAGGAGCAGTAATTGGGGGAGACACATTCAAGCACAGGCAGAAAAGCGGAGTGGCTTATAATTGTTCTTTCAACCATATAAAACCCCACCCACTGCCACTGAGCTGATTCCGACGCACAGTGACTCCTTAGGATAAAACAGACGTGTCCGCAGGGTTCTGAGACTGAATACATACGGGAGGAGACAGACTTACCTTTCTCCCTCAGAGTGGCTGGTGGGTTTGAACTGCTGACCTTATGTTTAGCAACCCAATGCCAATCCAGTGCGCCACCAGGGCTCCTAAACCATATTTTGTTGTTAAATACTATCAAGTCGGTTCCAACTCATAGTGACTCAGGGCTTCCAAGGAGTAGCTGGTAGATTTGAATAGCCAACCTTGACACTTCAGTAAATCAATAAATAAATTGCTGGGCATGAGAGTAAATTAAGTAATTAAAGTAGATCACATGGCTACCCTCCTACTGATCTCTGCTTCTAGGATGCGCTTTGGACTGACAGAGGTAGCAAATGCCCTAAGCTGTCAGCTCAGTGATGAGTGAGGCAACACGAGATCCTGACTTGGTCTTCCCAGCACATCCTACTGCCCATTCAGCCTGTCACACTGAGGAGGCTCCACAGGAACCCAGAGTGGCCTCCAGACAACCATCCAGGACCAAATCCACCAGCAACCACCTGCCTTCAAAGCAGAGTCCTCCCCAGCCCACACCTAATTGCTAACCACCTTGCCACCGGCTGGAGACCTTGGAGTAGGATCCTGTCCCACAGACACCAGGAGATAATACACGTGGGCTCTCTTAAGGCAAAAATCAAATAAATTAGTGCTCGCTTCGGCAGCACATATACTAAAATTGAAACGAGACAGAGAAGATTAGCATGGACCGTACACAAGGATGACACGCAAATTTGTGAAGTGTTTCATATTTTTGTTGTTGTTGTTAAGGTGCCATCGAGTCAGTACCGACTCATAGCGACCTTATGCACAGCAGAACAAAACACTGCCTGATCCTTGGCCAACCTCACTACCGTTGCCATGCTTGAGTTCCATATTTTTAGAGATGCAAATCAAAACAACAATGAGATATCATTTCACACCAGCAATAACAGGAAAGATCAAAATGTGGAGGACAATAAATGCTGGCAGGGATGTGGAGAGACTGGGATGCTCCTGCATTGCTGGTGGGATTGCAAAATGGTCCAGCCTCTCTGGAAAGCAATATGGCACTTCCTCAGAAGGGTGAAAATAGAAATACTTTATGATCCAGAAATTCCTCTACTTGGTATTTACCCACAAGAAATACAAGCCATAA